TAATAGAAGTTTCGAGTAGAAGAACATGCATTCGAACACTAGTATTTATAGCCTGCCGACATTGAATGAAGACTAGCTGTAAAGATGGAGAAAATTCAACTAAATTCAAACAGAAAAATTTTAGTCTTCAGATATGTATTTTACAGCAAGCAAAATAGTCTAATACATAACTAGTTAATGAAATTTTATGATATTATTATATTAAGTTTTTCTTTCATGCCCGCATCCCTTGCTAACTCCTCTTATAATATTTCACATTTTGTATTAGGCATGAATTCATTTGAATATCTTAATATGATTTTATGGTTAAATTGAGAGCTCAAGATAGACCAAACATAATGCTATTAATAGTCATGATTCAATTTGAGTTCATATAAACTCAGATCAAGCGATTGAAGTATTGTAGAAAAATTTCGGTGCATTAATTGAAAGCATATTATCTTTAAATTTGACATACTTATAACTAAATCGTGCGTATCGATGACAAAAACCCTATGAGCTCAAGAGAATTTAATTTTGAGGTCTTTAATTCACTTACATATTAAAAAATTATCTATGATCAAGGGAATTATGATGGATCATCGAGATGAGTGTTTTGTTATTCTGTCTAAATTTATTTAAAATGTGTTGTGAAAAAACAACGGTAATAAAACAAAAAACAGGATTGAGAAAAACGCAAAACAGAAAAGCACAGTGGAAACACACAGATTTATGTAGTTCGGCAAATTGACTACGTCCATGGAGCTGTAAAGGATTTTATCACTTCTAGGAATTAAACACGTCGATCACCTCGACAATTACAAAAAATCACTATTTCTCTCTCCTCTCATCCTCTCCTTCTCTCTCTCTCTACCCGAGAGCTTCTAACCGAAAAGCTACCAATGCCGAAGAGGAAGCCTGTGAAACCAAAACCCGAGAGAGATTACAAGGGGAGCTAGACGCCTATTTATTAGTCTAATCCAATTTGCTATCAAATTTATGTAAAACATGAAAAAATATCAATTTTAACAATGGACCGGTTTCCATATTCACAACAAAATGCCCCCTAAAAAATTTTAAATAGACCCATATTCATTACTTCAAAGGTGTTTTGATGTTGTTGATAATTTTCTAGCACGCAACAAAATTGAAGTGTATGCATTAGATAGGGAAATACGTGAGTATTGAGAGGTATGTATGTAAACCTTCCTTATAATATTTAGTTATTTACGGCTAACGAAAGATCATGGTCCACTAAAATTAAAGATTCTTGTTGACTTTTTAAATTTGAAACTAGGAGGAATAAACTCATTAGTCAGATTAATTCCAGAAGAGTCAAGTCGACGATGCTAATATGTTGTAAATATAAAATGCGAAGAAAATTTAAATTTGAAAGTAAATAAAAAGAAATTCTAGAGATTATGAAGAGGCTTCCAATTTTGAAAATTTTTAATAATTTTTGTATTTAAAAATGAATTTCAATATATTAAGCATATTTTAATCTAATATGGAGTCAATTATTCTCTCTATCATAAGTTCATCAAAACCTACGATCACTGTGTAGTTATTTTTTCAAGAATTAATTAGCAATCCGCCTTATAATTTATAATATATAGGGAGAGTTGTTTGTGATTTACATGTTTTTGAAGAAGTTCTAGTAGCAAATACATATGATTCCACCAATGACTTTCTGTCATCCGACATGAATCTAGAGGCAATTTTTTGAGCAAAAATTGTTCAAACTTCAATTAAAAGTCGTCCAAAACCTTGATTTCAGCAAACTTGTGGTCAAATTGACCAGCTCGACGAGAGAGACCAAAACATTCCAAAATTGTTCTAATCTAAGTAAAATCAAGCTCATATCAAGTCGTTTAACCACTTTTGAAAACTTTCAGTCCATTTTTAGAAGATCAAACAAATTCCAAATATGAAAAACTTATTATCAAATCGAACGTCTCCACAAGAAAAATCCAATGAGCATAATATCACTCAATTCTAACATAATTTAAGACAGTCAAATGTCCCCAGAACACCGTTCGATCGAGGAAATCTGTCTAGAACATCAGAACAGAACGATATGAATTTCTTCCTTATTTGTAATCTGAATTCTATAAATATAACTCTACCCCTCCTCCTCTTGAGAATGGGACTAAACTCAGAACCAGAAGATGACTAGAACCTGGAGAACAGAGATATGAAGTTTCCTATACTTCACCGACAATCCAACAAACACTTCTAGCTTTACAGTCATCAACCATTGCTCGTTGGCCGCTTTTGACATCCATTGTCTGTCCCCCGCACTTTACTGTGAAATATCATTTGAAGCAATAATCAACACCATAGAATCACGTAGAAACCTTTATGAAACAGTGCATCACTCAAATGTCAGGCCAACGCCAAAAGCAGAGTGTTGAACCTCCAACAATTACTCCCAGTTGTGGTCGCTCCCTATTGCAAGACAATGAGTTCTTTTGTGCACGAATGTTATAGCTTGGGAAACAGTGTAGCCCTATCTTGCAGTGGGGAGAAAGCGTTGTACTTAATTACCATCTTATAATGAAACATTTCAACTAAGCAAGTCTTTGTGATTTTTTTTCCCTTTTGGTGTTTTCCAAGTAAAAAAATTTTGTATCTCTTGTGATTATTTACTTTTATCTGAGTGTTTGTTGGATCATCGTATAACTCTAAGATGATAATTCATTACTCCGTCGCTGCAAATTATCAAACATGCATTAGTTTAATGACTTTTGGGTATAGAATCAATCCTGCCACTGAAGTACTTTTGAGACTTGTTGCATGGCCATTAGACGCAATAATCACAACAACAAAACGTCCTACTCCATCACTTATCATTGTAGGGGAGAGTCACGAAGCCAAAGGTGTCAAGCCTCCACATCTTTCAATCATGGAAAGTGTTACCCTACTAGACATAATGATTCAAGTTCTTCTATAGAAGTTCGAGCACACGGGATTGAGGAGTCTCAAGTGGTGATTATCCTCCTTGTATGCATAGCTCCATAGTCATTGATGCAGCCAAATGAAACTTACTTATCACCAGTTTAACAACCAACAAAAAATGCCCCACAATAACATACTCATATCGAGCCCCCTCTCCACGATAGAACCCTTTCCCTTTTAGGCTGGGATGTTAACCTCCTTGCTACTATAAGTTCCACTTTTACATCACTAGAAGTTCACATAGTGATGTCCCATCATGTTTTGTCGCTTTTGATGATGACATCTGTGGCGAGTTGAACATCTGATCTGAGAAGATTTCTCTATGGGGGATCGAGATCGTTTCCCCGATCACCGCAAATTTCAAGAATCATGTCCTTTAGCTAAAGCAGTCCTCTAACACTCTATATCAGCAGGTTATGAGCTCCCAAATATTGATTCCTATGAAGGAGTAACTGGCCCATAAAAGCACGTTAACCACTATTGAATCATCATAGTCATCCAGCATGCCTCGGATGCACTTCTCTGTCAAGTATTTTCAACCACTCTCAATGACCAAGCTCACTTCTGATTCTACTCTCTTCCGGAAAGACAATATCAATACCTTCAACTGACTTGCCAAATTGTTTATGGAGCAGTTTATCGCCAATCGGAGAACCATCAAATATTCATTTAATCATTCAGAAATCTATCAGAATGCGGGAGAGTAGCTCAAAGACTATTTTCACAAGTTCTCTACCAAAGTTTGCTACATCTTAGAGGTGGATCCTGAAATGCAAAGAGGAGTCTTTCTAGGAAGACTTCGCCCAGAATCTTTCTACTCATCACTAATGTAAGAGACGATACACTCTTGTGTCTATCTTGTCCCTCGCATTGAAGCTTAGATCGTTGTAGATAAGGCCATCAGTGCACATAAAGAGTAATTTGAGCGATTTGGGAGTAACTTTGGGGACTCCAATCAAACCTCACTACAGAGAAATTCCAAGCAGCAGGGGAATCATGCCCTCCCTCCTCGGCCTGCAAACCAGCAATGAGATCCTTGACCCTAGAAGGAGAATATGCAGCTCAACACGTCGCACGTTGAGATTCTAGTGGTTATTAAGGATGAAGAGACAGTTAAGTGGCCTCGCCCCCATTCTGACAGTCTCTCGTTCCAAACCTCCAAATATTGCACAATTCCTTTCTGAAGACATCACTCTAATCTTCTCCCGACTCAGTTGGTTGATCCTGCTTGCTTCCATTCATTCCAAGCATATGGATGTCGCACTATTCCTTCCAAATACTATCACTTGAGTCCGCTCCAATTTCATTTGCGTGGTCTTGTGGCTCAAGACCCCCTTAGTGCAGTGACACTGCCCTGATGCAGTATTATATATATTAAAAGAAAATTGATATTTGGCAGATGCCCAAATATCGATTTCTCATGCATTTTTTGGCCCCATTATGAAAGCCCGTGCAGGTGTCTATAATTTCAGAGCATTCAAGCCATAGTGGGATCGAACTCTTTACTTGAGGGGACTTACAGTGACTCGGCCACCAACAGGTCAAGGCTATATATATATATATATATATATCATTAGTTTAAGTTTTATATTATGTAATATTTATTCAAATTTATTTTCTCAACAATTTATTTAAATAAAAATTTTCTATATTTAAATTTAATGATATAATTATAAATTTTATGGTAATATAATTTTTTTAAGAAATTTGATTTTAAGGGAAAGCAAAATTTTGTGTATGATATAATAATAAAGAATAAAAAAATTCTTGAAAATGCATGTGTAAGATATAATATAAACTATATCTTTCTTGTCCTTTTTGCTTGGACCAAGTATAATTTATAATATTAAAAAACAAATGTTTAGTCCCATAATAATCTTATTCTTAGAGCACCCCCGTTTTATTATTATTATTATTATTATTATTATTATTATTATTATTATTATTATTATTATTATTACGGACCAATGCATATCGTTTAAATACGGCCATGGTTGAAAAATCCTTAAAAACGGCAATAGTGCTTGAACATTTACTAGTCAAAACACACGTGCCATTGACAGTCCACATGCCATTTGCCATTTACATTCCAATCTCAAGCCAAACACGAAATCAAAAACCCAAAACCATAACACCATTACAATCTCATCCCTCCAATCCACACTATAAATGCATAACCAGAGCCCCCTCCCATAAAACCAGAGCCAATCACAAGTAAGCCACAATAAACCCCCATGGCAAGCCTACCTTCCTTCCTCTCCCCAACAAGCTCCTTCACCACCCAACCCATCTCCACCAAAAGACCTCCAACTCCCCACTACTTCCCCAAAACCATCTCATGCAAGTCCAATGGAAACGACGACAACAATGTTCAAGAAAGAAAATCCTTCAGCGGCCGGCGCGACCTCCTCATAAGCATTGGTGGTCTATACGGCTACGCTGCCGGCTTTGCACCAAATCCTCGCATGGCAATTGCTTCTCCAATCCAAGCTCCCGATATCTCTAAGTGCGGCTCGGCCGAGATCCCGGCCGGTGGAACTCCCACAGACTGCTTCCCGCCATTCAAATCCACCATTAACCCGCCATTCAACTCCACCATTATTGACTTCGTCCCACGGCAAAACCAAGGGCCGCCTCGCGTCCGCCCGGCCGCCCACCTTGTTGATGCAGAGTACTTGAAGAAGTATGAGAAGGCCGTAGAGCTGATGAGAGCTCTTCCGGCCAACGATCCCCGCAACTTCACGCAGCAGGCCAATGTTCACTGCGCCTATTGTGACGGAGCTTACGACCAAGTCGGTTTTCCCAAACTTGATCTTCAGGTATGCCTCCACGTGTAATTCGAGTGACAAAATTTTAGCAACAGAATATTGAATTCCCCTCATTCACATCCAGGTGCACAACTCATGGCTCTTCTTTCCCTGGCACCGCTTCTACGTCTATTTCCACGAGCGCATCCTCGGCAAGCTCATCGGCGACGATAGCTTCGCCCTCCCCTTCTGGAACTGGGATTCCCCTCATGGAATGGTGCTGCCTGCTTTCTACACCAAGCCATCCTCTTCCCTCTACAACAAGAACCGCAACCCCAACCACCAACCTCCGGTCACCATCGACCTCAACGGCAACACAAACCAGAACTTCACCAATGCAGAACTCATCGAAGACAACCTCAAAATCATTCACCGACAAATGATATCCAATGGCAAGACCGCGCAGCTCTTCTTGGGGGCTCCGTACCGAGCGGGAGACGAACCCAACCCGGGCAGTGGGTCCATAGAGCTAACCCCGCACGGGCCGGTTCATATCTGGACCGGAAACCCGGCTAATCCCAATAATGAAGATATGGGGAACTTCTACTCCGCCGCGCGGGATCCCATCTTCTACGCACACCATGGCAACATCGACCGCCTCTGGTCGGTCTGGAAGACACTCGGTGGCAATCGGAAAGACTTCAAGGATCCTGATTGGCTCGACGCCTCTTTCCTCTTCTACGACGAGAATGCGCAGCTTGTGAAGGTGAAGGTCAGAGACTGCCTCGACACGGAGAATTTGGGCTACAAATATCAGGAGGTGGAGAGTCTTTGGTTGAATAAGCGGCCGACACCGAAGGCAGGCACAAGCACAAAGGGTTTGTTGAAGAAAAAAGCGCCGGCGGTGAGTGGAGAGCCAGCGTTCCCTGTCACGCTTAATAAACCGGTGAGCGCGACGGTGAAAAGACCAAAGAAGGGGAGAAGCCAGAAGGAGAAGGAGAATGAAGAGGAGGTGCTTTTGGTGGAAGGCATTGTGGTAGACCGGCATGAGTTCGTGAAATTTGATGTGTATATAAACTCGTCGGAGGAAGAGAAGTTGAGGCCTTCGGCAAGTGAGTTTGCGGGGAGTTTCGTTAATTTGCCGCACAAGCATGGGCATGGGAAGAAGGTGAAGGATCTGAAGACTAATTTGAGGCTTGGGATCACGGATTTGCTGGAGGATCTTGGGGCTGAGGATGATGACAGTGTCGTGGTTACGCTTGTGCCTAGAACTGAGAATGGGAGCAAGATGAAGGTTGGGGGGCTTCGTATTGAGTTCTCTTCTTGAGAACTTAATTGATACGTGCATGCGTATAGATTTTTTTAAATTTTTAGTATTTTTGGTGTTCGTTTTTGTCTATGGGTTGAATAATGACGCCGATTGCTAGGCCATGGCTGAACTTCGGGTTTGTGATGCCATATTGGCTCTTTGCGGTATATTGTTTTTAATAATAGGTTTCATTAATGTTTTTTTTTTTAATTAGCTGGATACGTCGTTCTATGAAGTCTTTGTTCTTAAAAGCCTCATTTTGTCACGGGTTTACAATATATGTACAGAAAGTTGGAAGATGAATATTATATTTCATTAAAGCAAAATTGACTAGCGACTACTTTGATTAAAAGTCTTTATCAAAACGTAATTCAGTTTTTATCTAGCTGAAATAAAATTAACAAATAAATGATTTTAAATCCCTGCCGTCTTAAATAGCCATTTTTTTAATTGTTGAGGGGTTATAGGGATTACTTTTATTTTGATTTTTATTTTATTTTATTTATATTTCTGATTTGAGTCATAATATATTTAATAAGTTAAAAAAAAAAAGAATGGCTATTTTTTAAATTAATATTTTTAAAGATATATTGATTTATTTTTAAAAAATAAAATAAAAGCAAAAATATGTAAGGAAATATCAAACAAATATATTTAAATAAATATAATCTCAAATAAGTCTAAGAGAGACATTTATAAACCTAAATTAAATCTACATCTATCTAATATAGAGCTAAATCTCCAACCTTCCAAGAGGTCATTTGCCCCAATATAAAATTCTTAAATCTTAAAAAAAAAAAAAAAAAAAAACAAGGCATGCCGCTATGGCTGCTATGGCTTGTAAGTGGAGTCCTAACTTGCAGCAATTATTGCATCCCTGAACATCATATAAAACATTATTTTCTCCACAAATTTTCAAACTTAAAGGGAAAGACCTAACATTTACTATTACTGACAATATATATGAATAGCTTTTATTATTTAAAAGTTTTCTTTTTCAAATATATAGATTCGAAATCATATAACTATAAAATTTTAATTTATTTTATAAATTTATCTATGCATGTAGCTAGTTATCAATTCATTCAATATAACTAAAAATAATTTATCATTTTTTTGTATTTTGTACATCAAAGTATGGCAATGTTCTGATTTATATATTTGAGTAAGCCAGCAACCTAGTTCAATTGAGTTCAATTAATATGTCTTAAGGTAGTGAAGGCTAGGTGTTATTGTCAAGGGAAAATCAATGCTTTTGTCAATTTGGGTGGTCACTTACCCAATTAATAGAAGCTACTTGCTCACGCCTTTTTCCAACTAATGACATCATTAGCAAGTTAGCATTCAAATTAAAATCTCATAATCTCTTCAATATGGTCGCCAACTCCATCCAATCAACTGCCTAAGGGGTTAACTATATGCATTCATGAGAATTATGATTGTTATTTTCATGTGCATATAAATGTCTAATCATGTATTTTTTTTTAAATGTTATATATTTAAACGTCATGGTGTAGCTTCTCATGTAAATTCTAGTCAAATGGCTATTTTTTGGATGAATAGTCATTCCAATCACGTTAAACTCTTAATATATTTCTCAAATTATTTTCCTCTGAGCTCTTTCTTCTCTCTCCCCTTCTCTCTCTCTATCTTCCTTTCTCCTCTAGCTCTTTTCTTTGTTAGAATCTTGTGTTACTTGCTAGTAGAGTTCTAGTGGTGCCCCTAATACATCTAGATTTAATTTCTAATAAAGCACTATGAGCTTCGAGATTGATGTTAAGAGCAAAAGATGGATAATTATAAGAAGTAGAGTAATAAAATAGAAAGTAGTACATATGGAAATTTACTACATCACCAACAGGCAACATGCCAAAAGAATTTTAGGAGTTCTCCATTGGGATTAATTCAATAAGGACTCGAAAGCTTATCTTTTCAATGTATCTTAGATTTGAACTCATCCAATAGTGTCAAAGTCATCCAAAAGGTGAAGGCATCTAAGGAAGTGTTCAACTTGTCCAATATTTAAATCAAGTAAATAGGATTTCAATTCATAAAAGAATTGAATTTGTTGGATGAAAAGTTTAATTTATCCAAGATTTGAGGAACTCAAAGGAGAGTAAACTTGTCAAAAAAACCGAAATTATTCAAGAAAGAATTTAATTTGTTCAATATTTGAAGTAATACACATAATAGTTTAATTATTCAAAAAAAATTAATGACGTTTAAAGACAATTTTAACTAGCTCGATTAAAATCGAGATTATAATGAGAGTTAAACATCTTAGCAAAACCAAAATAACAAAAAAAAAAATTCTCCCTTTGAAAACATTTATTTTATATAAAATTAAGAGGGAAAATGAGGGAGGAAAATGTCTGAGAAAATTTTCACAGAAGTTGGACCTAAAAACTCAAAAATAAACTCTTAAATTTAAAGTCGACCAACTTCAAGTTAAATAATTAAAGCATTAAAGATTTAGATCAACATTAAAATAACTTATTTATTAATGAATGAGTACTCAGATACTTTTGTGAAAATAAATTAACTTAAATTTGAGAGTTGAGTGATATGTTCAGGTTAAGGTTAAGTTAGAGTTACGAGATTGCTCCCAATAGGAGAGCTAAGGCTATTGGGTCAATGAATATTTTGTGCTTAAAGAAGTTACATTTATTCTTAATTTTAAATTTGATTTTCATAATAAAGGATGAAGTCATATCTAATGAACTTGAAAAGGAAAAAAAGTTATATGTTTTTTTAAAAGTAGCTTCATTGATAAGAGTTATAGCGTCATCTGATTTCTTACTCACACAATATAGAGCATTAGCTATTTTGATAAAAATTAAGTTACAAAGCATGATCCAGAATGAAAATGATAGAAAAAATCAATTTTTAAACAACAACTTGTGCTTTAATTAATGAGATCGTTGAATTTCTAACACAAAAGAAAATCAAACTAGCATCAAATTTAGTAAAATAACTTATTAGAATAATAAATGCTTTGATATTCTTTTATTTTTAATAAACTAATATGTTATTTAACTATGTTGTTTATTTTGCTAGATTATCTCTAAGAAGATAAGAACATAACAAAGCTAACCTATATCCAAGCATGCTAATAGACTGATTTTATAAGCTTAATTTATCTTTGGACAATGGTTGGGAGTAAGCAAGTAAACCTTCTTCCATACGAAGTACAAGCAAACATTTTAATTTGTTAATAATCAGAGTTCTTAAAATTTTCTTGACATATGCATTTATAGAGAATAATCCATCAAATCTTGAGACGATTAACTATTCCTTGATATATAATCAATTTTAGGTCATTTTATAAAGTTTTGCATGCATTAATTATATGGCTATATTAAAAAAAATGAAATAAAAATAAAAATAAAAATGCTTTGAGTTTTTTGCATCAAGAGGATATCACTAACAAGGTGCAAGATGACAGGAGAGTAACTAATAATGCTACTTTAAGAGGTATGTTTGTCGTGGCATATAAATATTAAGGGACATAATGAGTAACGATGCTCAAAGACAAATCCCACTTTTAAAATGGATTGGTTAATTTGTGAGTGTTAGGAGAGGTATAAAACCAAATGCTTGCCGAGACATCTTAAGATGCCTGATATATTTGGGAAGAGTTTTGACGGACTTTTGGGAGAAGTTCCCAGAAGGGTAAGAAGCTAAAGGAACTTATGACTTGTGGAAGTTTGTGATGGATAGTGTTGTAATCGAGTCGAACCGAGCCAAATTATATCATATTTTGGAATTGGTTTGATACAATTATAAGATGTTAATGTTCGGCTTAAGCTTACGTCTAGCTTTCACATATTGTTCAAGATTGACTTGTTTAAAGTTCCAATGTTTGAACTTGATTTGTTCATGACAAGTGAACAAGTGTTTAAACAAGCTAATAAATGAGCTAAAAATTCAAACAAGTACTTAGATTTTCATATAAAAATATAAATTTTACAAATATAAATAAATAAACAATTGAATAAATCATATAACTTGTTTTTGATATAAAGAAAAAAAACTAACTCACTTGTATCTAGTGTCTATAATAAATATATTCTCACAACAATAAGTTCAAATACAGAAAAAAATTGAAAAAAGAGTAAAAATAATTAGATGAGCTAGTATTACAAAGTAACTCATAATGTGAAATTATTCATCAAATGTTAAAATTTATTGAGAAAATCAGAGATAGTCTGATCAAGCATAATTAAAAGGAATGAACATATGTGATGTTCACTTTTAAAATTCCGTCATGTTAATTTTCAAATAGTTAATAATTAATTAATTAATTAATTAATTAATTAAATGTATATATAATTAAGAATTAACCTAAAATTTTTATTGATATAATAACATATTACTGCTAAAAATATAATTACATAAATTTCAGCAAATTAAATTTTATTTATATAATATATCATACATTATATGTGCTATATTCGAGCTTCATATCGAGTATTTAATAAGTTGTTTGTTAAATAACAAACGAGTTTGTTCGTGAATATAAATGAACAAGTTCTACTATGTTCAAGTTGAGTTCATTCAAGATTCAAGTTTTAAAAACTTGTTCCAACTTGTTTATTTAATTATTTGAACGAACATGATCGAGTCATAATCGAGTCAAGTTCAAGTTGTTCATCGAGTTCATTGGTTCATTTACAGCCCTAGTGATGGAGGATCAACTTGTGATATTCATTATAAATATAGAGGAAATTAACTTGGAGAACTCAATGGTATATCTAGGAAGATTGTCAACAATTTTAAGTGCTATTGATTCTTATTAGCCTTTTAAGGAAATAAGTTTAGAATTTTGAGCAACAAGCAGACTTCGGAGGATATCTTTGACAGAATATTTTTCTGGACAATTGGTAATATGACACCAGCCAACTATTAATAAAGGTAACACATGTGTTAGTTTGTTCTTGAGGAGACTGTTGTAGCAAATTCTTCCGGGGCACTAATCTTGACTTGTTTCCGTCATAGATGAACTCTATATTAGGCATAAAAAGTTGATATCTTGTCTTTATCTCTTACTTTCCTTATCGATCTCTACCCACCAATAGGCAAAATCTAAAATCCATCAACTAGTGATGTCTAATGTCCCTCTTATTTGTCAATTGATCTCATTAACTATTAAGAGAATAAACAAACAATTCATATAATATGTAATGTTATAATTTATACACTTTTACTACAATCAAGGGTGTTAAATTTGTACCCGACACCTTAGTGGTTTTCTCTGTGGAGAAGCACGAGAAAACCATCCCAAAAATTATCATTGACTCTGCCACGCAAGACCTACAAGATTGTCTTTCACAGTTTTCTCTCTTGAAGGAGGAGAAAGTTTTCCAGAAAGTAATCCCCAACCATGCCATGCAGGATCTCTGGGATTTCTTTCGCGGTTTTCTCTCGTGCAGAAGCAGAAGAAAGTTATCCTGAAAGTTATCCCCGACCCTGCCACACAAGATCTTCAAGATTTTCTTTTTGATTTTCTCTCGTGGAGAAGTAGGAGAAAACTGTCCTGATAGGACCTCCAGGATTTTCTTTCGTGGTCTTCTCTCAGATTATTGGGAAGCCGATGTCAGAAGAACTGGGTCCTGCCAAAACTCAGAGGAAGTGTCAGAACTCTGAGGAGGAGAAGCCGGAGGCGATGCTGACACCATTTGAAGATGAGCTAACTCTTTCTTCGAGAGAATTAAAGATTAAGATATTATAGATCGACCACATCCTTGGCGAGTACAAGAAGATGAATAACTCATGTGCAGTATATATTGTCATTGGGGCAATAACTAGTGAACTGTTGTGATGACCTATCGTTGATGACAATTTTTCTCTCCCAAGAACATTGGGAATTGACAGATACTCGAGAAAAACAAGGAGACACGAGCTAAACTCCGTCAGTGCACAAATATATTGCAAGCTTTCCAAGAGAGGATGTTGATCATTGAAGCAGAGAAATAGAAGACTGTGAACATTGAGGAGACACCTTTAATCCATAAGACAACATACCCACTCCCAGCCCAAGGGCAGTTCATGAGAGTGCACTCCTGTTGGTAAGGAGAAAGTTGATGCAGACTGGCATCTTTGTTTCTACTTTTTTTCCTCATTTTTATTGATGCTTTGTTGTATGGATCAAAGTGGTGTAATCATTGATTGACAGTGCATTTATCTATACGTTTTGCTTGATGCAATAAAATTTTTTATGTTGTTTTTGGGCCGTGATTTATCTTATTCTGGGATGTTATAGATTCTCAATCATGCAAAATTCTGTAATTAAAGTTAGTACGTGCACTTTATAAAAAGGAATCATGTACATTTATAGACTTGTGCCTTTGAAGAGTTTTATTCATTTGGGTGTGTATCTTTTGAGATTTATGCCTTCTTGGACTTATGCCTTCTGAGAGTTGGAAATGCGTCGGTGTCTTCTGAGGCTCGATGCCTTCTGATATCTTTGATCTACACGTGCCTCTTGAGGCTTGTAGCTTTCTGAGGTCTTTGATATTTTTGTGCCTCTTAAGGTTTATAGGCTTCTGAGGTCTTTGTTGTACCTGTGAATCTTGAGGCTTGAAGCATTCTGAGGTCTTTAATTCACCTGTGCCTCTTGAGGCTTGAACCTTCTGAGGCCTTTGATATACCTGTACCTTCTGAGACTTGTAGCCTTATGAGGTTTTGAGTGGAGACCATGTCAACCACTTGTTCTCTTGGAGTCTTTCTAGTGAGTCACAACAAGTTTCCCATCGAGACTTGCCTCTTGGACTCGAAGTTCAGGGGTACTGTATCATCCCATCGAGTTTTGTCATATAGGCTTGACTTTTAGGGGCATGATAGTTTCTTATCGAGTCTTGTTTCACGGGCTTTACTTCCAGCGATATTGTATCATCCCATCGATTTTGCCTCTTGGACTTGACTTACAGGGACATGGTACCTTCTCCTTGAGTTTTATCTCTTGAGTTAGACTTTCAGAGGTACTGTATTTTCCCATGAAGTCTTGCCTCTTGGGCTGACTTCTAGATGCATGGTAACTTTCTATTGAGTCTTTCCTCTTGGGATTGACTTCGAGCGGTACCTGATCTTCCCATCAGGTCCTGCCTCTTGGGCTTGACTTCTAAGGGTAAGCATGGAGACCATGTCCTCCACTTGCCCAGTTGAAGAGTTCCTCTATAAATTATAATTATAGTTGCAAGCACTTCTCCCGCATGCAAGAAAGGGTTAGAATATCTCCTACGTTACAATGTTAACATTCAGATAAATTTGTTGCTAGAAACGGGCGGTGACTGATAACAATCGGCGGCAAATGAAAGTTGGTGTTCAATGGTGGTCAACGACAACAAGAATAGTGTTGAACTTCAGCTTCTTTTAAAAGCTTCAAGCTATTCTTCAAGCATCAAGCTCTCCTCAGCCCTCGAGATATGGGTGGGGCTCTATTTATAAAGTCACTGCTACAACTAATGATTGAATTTGGACCACTCTGATCGG